GCACAGTAATTGGTGCATAACCCTCCAGGGGAATCCCCAAAGGTGTATGGTACCCTCCAGGGCACCCTAGTCAAATCAAAATTTTGATACCAAACTGACAAAGTCTGTGTTGCTACACGTGCCGTCATGTCAGCAGCCTGCCGATTTTTGAGCCGATAATTGACCTTCTCCTGCCGACAACAACCATGAAAGTGTCCAAGTTTGACCTTGTGCTTGGTTTAGAAATCATGATCCAGATGGTGAACAGCCCCCTTTTTTGCTTCGATGAGTTTTGAATTGCTAAAGTGAGTGGTGAAAATGGGAAGAGTGGGTTGCGACCTAAAGAATCAGGGAAACCTGGAATGTTTCACGATATTTTCTGCCAAATCTGTTCATACGCTATGCAATGATGTCATTGGTGGTGAGTCAGCGAAACAGCACACCCATAGTGCCATACGGCGCAAGGCAACGGTTTCCATGCTTTTGCAGGAGCTAGTGCATCGCTGTGCCACAACTAATATACTTTGCCAAAGCATGTCAACGGGTGATGTAATCGCGTAACCTCTATTAGCAAGGCGTTTCTTCCCATCAACATCTCAGGCCAAAAGGTCAAAGATGAAGACAGATGTCGGTCAGATTTTACACCAGACTGAAGCACATGTAGAGGACGCTCAGTGTTCTTGAAGCAATCCATTTGAATCCGTCACAATACTTCTACTTTGAAGCACTGCTCCAAAACTTTGTTATGGTCAGTAAGGGGTAGGGCTTACTGCTACTGTGCTAGTTTGCAGGATTTCGCTCTCCTTCGAGCTCCTGGACATTCCAGGAACATCTCGATGGCCCTGGTCTACTGGCATCTGCACGATCAAAGGCTACCCGATGTGAATTATTGTTTGCTGCAACTCAACAGCCAAGTATTTTAAAAAAACTAAAAAAGACCAAAAAACAGCCAAGATCTGTAAACGTGGGGTACACGACACGAACTCACTACACCTTTCGGAAAAGCTAGATGACAATGCACATAGCACCGCGGGGCATAGGTGTAGATTTAAATCTACAAGTCATGCTTTGTACACCTGCAGGGCGAATGAGCTTTTGTGGTCAAAATCTAGCCATAAGCAAAACCTTCAGCCTAGTTTAGCTCACTCGTACACCCATTTTCGTCTGACACCTATGATATGCTCCTGAGCTTCCCGATGACAGTATACCAGGTATACAGCCGGAGCGGAAACAAGCGAGGGCGATTGTTATTGTTTCGTCACTGAACTGAGATGATGTTTATCTGCGGGTACGGGTAAGGGGAATCGGTGTTCGTGCCCTCGCCCATCCAGTGTCAATGATTTGTCGCTGTGCGCATTCAGTGATTATCTCCGACGTCTGTACATTGTTGATGACTACCATTACCGTTACTGCGATAGCTTGAATCTGGCAGTCCTCAGGGGCGTACATAGGGCGGTTCCCGGGATGCCCGGGAACCAGTAAAAAAAATTCGATATTGGTACAGAATTTTTTTGGATCCAGCCTTTTCAGGCCCATGCGCCCAGCGCTCGCAGTGCAAGTGCATGCCTAGCGCCTGGAGTCCGCGCCTGACCATGCTGACGGTCCGAGTACTGTGACTAGTCCAGGTGTGAAAGCGGTGCTGGGACACAGTGTACTGGACTGGGTTCAACAAAGTCTCTACATCGCCGGATTCCTCGATCTCAAGAGTCAAATAATTAATTCCTTTGCAGTTTGTTTTGACGAAGTTCGTCTTGTTTTGGACGATGCTTTCGCTTTGTGGAAAAGAAAAATGAAGCATCCACATCCAGAGGGCCAGCGCTCTATTCAGAGCTATTTTGAGCAGCAGGCAAAGCGTGTAGCCAGTGCTAGTGGCGAAGGTCAAGAGATAGATGAGAATGGAGACGCACCTGACTTGCAAGCGAAGGCTGCATGCATCGAGCAGCGCTGAGGAAGAAATCGTCGGCGAAGCTGTAGAGCGACCGTTGTTACTTCAGTGACATGGGAGTGTGTTGGAAGGGATATGTGTTCGAAGGAATATTCTGAAAGTCGACGTCCACAGTGGAATCCAGTCCCCCGACATTTGCCGGACACGGAAAAGATTTCCGGCGTCACCGACAATCATTGTGCGCCACCGAAGGCGAAGAATTTCATTTCCTGTGCGTGTCCAGATGGATGGCAAACAGCGCCACTTTCAACTATCCTTGTTACAGGAGCTACCTTGGGTAGTCAGTAGTAGTCTTTTGACCGGCGTGCAATGGTGGCCTCTGCTTGCCCTGTGTGATGTTTGCTCCAGATGATTCGAAACTTAGGCAGCTTTCAAGACTGCATGCAATCGTCATGCTGAACAAAACATCCATAAAACGGGAAAAAGTTCAGTCTTTTAAAATCAAAAATGCATAGCAATGACATCGTCTAGCAGCTTGTGGATGAAAATTTCACCCAGTCTGAGGAGAATAAGCAGAAACTCCGTGGGATACAATTGTGTGGAATGTTGGTTCATCAGTTGGCATGGGAACCACTCCTGGAGGCGAGCGGCGTACGCCCCTGGTCCTAATGATCACTTCGCCGGTACTTGCTGGCGAAATCATTGCCAAGCCGGCATCGAACACTTCTCTCCTTGTTCATGATGCCACTGCAGTACAAGCGCCTGTGCCATTCCTGGCCCTGTTATGCACTGGGCAATACTTGTGTGTAGTTCACAGGTAGTTCTTCTGCATCACCTTCTTCTCCAGAATTACCATGATTACCCAAAGCCCCGTTTGAGCGTAACTGCAAGCCTAGGCTGAAGACATGGCAGTGCAGCGTAGGGTTGACACCCTCTGAGCATGATAGTATGCCATTAGGTGTGTTCGCGATACGGTCATAGGTTGTGGGATGCTCTGTAAACATGAGCAAGACACAGTCGTGATTGTCATGGCCCCTTGGTACACTTGTACATGATTGTCCAGCGTCTTCCACGCGCCCCAGGTGCACTGCATGTTACCGGCTACGGAGACATCTCCCCGCAATTCTGCCGTTATGACAGTCATTTGCGTTGTTCCTCGACTTAGTCTTTACGTTCTCCCGGTCACCCTTTGATGTCTCTTGTATTCGGGGTGCCTGTGCCTTCACGCTTGCTTGTGAGGCGGCTTCCTTGCGTATTTTCTCTGCAGAAGTGCTCGGCTTGCAATCGCTTCTCTCACGAGCCATGCACCAGCACATTTTGTAAATGGTGATAATAATAATTAGAAGTTCATGTAGGCCACCACTGCTCTTGTGTGATTCCCGAAGTGGAACGGCATTGAGAGCACTTTCCTGCAGCTGCAACTCGGTGACGGTACTGGAGTGCTAAGTCTTGTACAGACTCAGTACAGACTCAGTGTCAGTGTACAGAGATAGTCCTATCCCGATTTTCTTCATCTTGGCATTCTTGCTAGCCTTCAGTCACACAGATTGCAGCTCGATTTGCATGTCACGGTCAGTCACGCCCTGGCTTGTGATAACCTGACGTGTTGTAAGTGTCAGCTGGGATCAGCTGACGCAACGACCGCAGCCTGTAACAGATGTAACCGTCAGGTCTGGGTCTACCTACAGTGGCTACACCACTGTACACGCCGTGCGCCTGATCTGACGCCAACATGCTGGTCGTAGCATTGCCCAACGCGCTTCAATGGTAAATCGTGTCTGGACTGTTCGGTGCTATGTCACATGTAAATGTTAGACTGATGTGTGATATCGCACCTAGTAAACTAAAGACGTAAAGTCAAGGCGTGTACTTGTACTTGTACTTGTACTGTATGCTTTGCTCTCTTTATCAGAAAAGCGATACTGTCAGCTTTGCTATTATGTTTGTGGCTGTAGTGTAGTGGTCCGAGTGTAACCAAAAGTCTATAATTATGGACTCTTGGTGTTTACTGTGTTACTTTGACACGCGGGGTGTAGTTGTGCTGTGATGTGGTGTGTGAGTTGTGTAGACCTTGGACATGGTAGATCCACTTGGTGTATCGACTTGGTCGCCAACGCACTGCATACAGACGATACTGGTAAAATCTACCATACCGTGATGCGCCAGGGGAAACAGCTGGACATAACAGCTGGACATTGCATTGAAAGTAACAGTGTGCGACGAAGTGCTAGTCACCACGACGTAGTATTTGGACAGTTTAAACTAGTAAGAAGTCTTGTAAAGCTTGCGTAATAATACGAAAGAGAACCTGCGCAGAAGAGATCAAGACTACATTGTAGTCATGACGAAGCATGCATCATCTACAGTACAGTACAGAGTCAGTAGAGTACACAGACATAGGTTTCACGTTTAGACATGATTGTGTGTGAAAGCTCTTAGCAGTCAATAATTATTTCGCTGCGCGCACCCGATTATGGAGATGGCATTGTAATTTGTAGTGTCAAGCGTATTACTAGTAGCTGGGTGGTACAATGGGGTATCCCCAGTTTGACAGATGATTGCAGTGGCTGCTCGTCGCCGGGAGGCTGGAGAAAATAGCTCATCTTCTCAATGTCCTGGATCGTCGGTCGTAATCGTTGCCTTGTCCTTTGCAGGCCCTTCGATAATGGCTTCCGGCCTGTCATGTAGCTGTGAACGAAATGGCCTGCGTGACTGGGCCACCACCGGCGATTGTGCCGATCTCTGACCGTTTGTGCTGCGTGCATATGTGTGTCTTGTGTTATGTGTGTCTTGTGTTATGTGTGGACTGACTGTAGCCTAGGTATGTACGTGTACCATGTTGCGTGTGTTATCTTCGACAAGCGATGTCAGGCCGATACGATGTTGGTGCTGAGCCCGGAGCTAGCCCTTGCGGCTGGGAAGGCTTTCACAGTTTCAGTCAACGCCAGTCGAGCCTCTTGCCTGCCTTGGCGAACCCACGAGAACAATGAAAAAGCGTCGTTGTAGCTGCACGTTTTAGCAGGCTGTGATTTGTGCAAAGCGCAGCAGATAGCTGCGATGGGTGTCTCCCTCTGTCAGCTGATTCCAATGACTACTAAAAGTAGTGCCTACTACTAGTGTTAGGTGCTTTGTGTTGTGACTAGACTACCTCAGTACCTGTGCAGCGAGGGCAGTGTTGCGAGCAACAAGGCACGTCAGAGGAGATCAGCTGCTGAGAATTTTTCTGTTCGCGATTAGTCAAGCGAGCAACGCCGAGACGACTGCCTGGATGACTTGGTGCTCCGTGCTAGGTAGAGCATACGTCCGCTGCTTTGCTTTCCGTGGTGGCGCTTCTGGTGGACCTGTCTGATTTCAATATCCTGCTAGCACTAGCAGTGCAGCGGTTTTTGTGTGAGCGACATAAGGTAACCGTGACCGATGCTACTTGCCATCACACATGTACGTGTGCTGAACCTCTGTATGGTGATTACGGTGGAGGCTTGATGCGGACATAGACACTAATGGGCCAATCTGCGCAAACCGTAAAACACTTCTGAGTAGCCTCCGTCCAGCAGTATCGTTTGACTTTAGCTGAGAGCAGCGAACGGAACTCCCTGCTCATCGGAGTAGACTGATATCCTCTTTGTTCGCCTTCGACCCTAAGCTGTAAGTCTATCTGCTCCAGCATCGAATGAAGTTCATTGTTATCCTTCTACCGGACCAGCATGCTACCAAACTGTTCTCCTTTCTGCTTTAGCGCAGTTAGGCAAACCTAAAGACATTCCCATGAATTCCTCAGTACGTCGTTGCAAAGGCTTTGGCTGCGGCATCTAGAAGTAGCGCTCCCACTTCAAAACTACAAAAGTGAAGTGTCTGTGGAGAAGCCTTTGTGTGGTCTCCGCATTTATCAGTGCAGTGTTCCTCGTCTCTGAAAAGACGCAAGGCAAGGGCTCGTCACTGATTTCGGTGTCACGGTGCGCTCGACAAGAGACCATCGTAGAACACTACAGGGTGCAGTCTACAGTTGAAGAGCGCTTACATTTTTCGGGATACCGCAGAAAGGACTTTCCAACGTCGTCAAGAATGTCATCGATTCTGCTAAATCTTCGCCAGCGGTTCGCGAACCGAAACCGAGCCAGTCAAGACTCGGATCAGATTGAACTCAGTCCACGACCGTGTACAGATTCAGTCTCCGTCCACACTAGTAACAGTGCAGGAAGCAGTGTTACGGTGCGAGCCGTTACCTCCCCGCAGAAAATCCCAACCGACGATGACCGACAGAACGAGCGAAATCGTCCGGAAACCAGTCCAGCCAGGACATCATGTGTCCACGTTCACCCTAGTTCTTTGTCATTGTCGAACACTGAGTCTGCACTTGTGCACCAGGAGAAAGGAGATGGCCATGAGCAGGAGGACATGAGTGAGGCAGCCGTGACACCTTCAGACGTTGTTTCACCCGGTATGCCAGCTTTCGGTAGTGCGTGTAGCAGCTCAGACTTGGAGAACTCGGCTCGATTCGAAGAGCGCTATCAGCCGCAGCAGCTTCAGCAGCACACGCCCACGCTACGAACGCGCGTGATGCAGAAGCGACTGACACGAAATTCGCAGTACTCACCCATGTCTTCCGGATTTGGTGCGATCGATGGCTCAGACTCTCCTGGCGAATCATTGGACGAGCATGACGACCACGAAGCAGGAGAACCCCCATCAACGTTCAGTTTACGTGATGTGGTTGGTAATTCCAGTGTGGCTGCGTTCTGCGGCAAACTGATAGAACTTCCAAAAAAGAAACTGAGAAGGAGGGATACTGGGCCCAGTGCGTGCGTCCAACAAGGTGTTGCATGCGAACATGGCCACTCCTGCCCCTTTGCATTCGATATTGATGGCGTCTCAACAGAATTCATTGACCGCCGGCGCCGTGCAATATACCAAAAGATCGGAATGTGAGTGAATTTCGTAGTGCAGAGGGGAATAGTGTGAGGGGAGTAGAAGTCGGACGTACTCTTGTAGATTACATCTGTGACTGTATCATGTATGGCCATCATAGTGTGTATCCTGTTGACCTTGACCCAGGCTGAGCTGGCGAATTGTTGAAGCGCCCAGTGTCCAGTATTCGTTGAACAGAGATGTCTATTCTTGAAACAGGGTGGTGCGCTGGAATGCAACTGTTGCAGCTGTTTTGTAGCGACGTCAGCACCTTGAGCTCTCCATGGTGCCCTGAGCGGTTTTGTGTCGCCTTGGGGCTGTGCACTGTAGTGTTCGTGGAGGAGTAGTATGTGGTCTAGATAAAAAGAACAGGTGATAAGGTGAGACAGGAATACTGTAGGTCTAGCTATGGTGTAGCTTTACAACACTCAACAGTGAACACACCATGATGCGCCATTATACGCAATGTCCTTCACCCTGCTTGACTCTGTACACCGGTGTTTGTGTGATGTGCCTGTGCCTATGCTTTGCAGGAGAGCTGAGGATCAGTTGCAAGTGTTCGCGACGCAGGGCGCTGCCTTCTTTTCGGACTTTGACGTGGTGTGCGATGCCTGCTTGCAGGTGAAGCAGTGTGTGGAGGTGCCCGGTGTCAATCGCAATGAGAAGGTGAGTGATCATGCAGGACAAAGCTTCTAGTATGGCTGGGATTGTGGGGCAAAGAGGACTGGTGGCCAGAAGGGATTTCAGTGACACAAAATTTAATGGATAATGGACTATTCACTGTGTCTGAATACGGGACGTAAAACGCGTTTCTCAGGTCGAATATAGTAAGTGATTGAGGCGAGAGTTTGTGGCTGCGTTTTTTTTTTTTTCTACAAAATCCACATATCTCCAGACACTGGTATGCCGGTATTCTCAGTTTGGTGGCATTGTACTGTTAGCATAGCAATACTAGTCTAGCACATGTCACATTCACAGTGACAGTGTATGCTGAGACTAGGAACGTTTAGCAGGTGCTGCAGCTTGCTATGCTGGTCTTGGTCGTGCTCCACAGAACTAGTCTTAGTGGGCACAGACTTACATGGTGTGTTTCTCATAAATGCAGAGGAACAGATTACCGGGGGTGCCACCTTTGCTACTACATTGTTGGGTACACGCACCCTGACAATGTTAGCAGAAATTCCAGTTGATCATGAAGAACTGAAGCCTGTGGCATAGCAGTTCCGAGTGTCCAGGAAAACCCGGCTGATATATTGACTGAAGATGGCCTTGCCCGAAAATTCGAATAATATTAATATCTCTTTTTCTTTTAGTGATTGGTGTAGCCCAGAGACCGTTTGGAGAGTGTTGTGAAGATGTATGGATATAGTGGATGGCTACAGTGGAGTCTTCGCATTTTGAGAAAGGTATATTGACTGACAATAGAATTGTGTATGTGTGCTTTGTGCATGCAGCTGTTGATCTGCAGTGAGTGCATGGTACCGCTGCTTAGTGGAGCTTGGTACCATGGAATGGATCCACTGGAGACCGTCAACGTTTGCACGGGCCTGATCGAGAAAGCCGGAACTCCGTCACCAGGGGTAAGCGGTCCTGTTTTGCAATGTTCCTTGATCCCCTTTGCTGGTATGTAGTTCAACTGGCATGGCTGCCATCCGATGATGATGTACTATAGTTCTGTACTACTTGAGTGGATTCAAAAATCTACGCAACAGCAAGTGAGCAGTAGTGGGATTTGGGCAACATTTCAAAGTATAATCTTGGCCAACACTAATCATCACCATCTCTCTTTCGATAATGCCAATATTCTTGATCTGGATTAACTGATTGGGCTTTTTAATTTAATGAATGTTTTTGAATGTCTTGCGTTCTGCAGAATTCATCGCTAGCCTCGCCTCAAGTAAACATGGACGACTCTCAGTTTGAACCCGAACAGCCAATGAAGCTACTTCAGCTGGCAGAAACCGCTCCTCCCGTTGACGAGCCGGTATGTTCTGTGTGTTTATAATGTTTCTTGAGTGGCTGAACAATGGAATCTCTATGAAAGTCGGATCATCTTTGCATCGTCTATTCATCCCCCCAGGATGGGGCATTCCTGTGGCTTGGACTGTAATCCCCAGAATTTTTGTCAGCTATCTGTAAACTTACTTATTGGCTGTCTCTTGTGCGTGTTGTTTCAGATTGATTCGGAAACGGAGTTTGAGCAGGCCTGCGACGCGATAGCTGCAAAGCGACGCGAGTCGATGAGCGAGCGTCACGGTGCGTGCAGTCCCTCCCTGCCCGGCGAGTGTGGCGATGCTGCAGAGGATACACGCTCGCCCACCGAATCCCTGACCGCATCTCAGATGGAGGAGCGCAAGGATGCTGTCTCGGCCTTGGATATACCGTTTCCTTCTCGACGAAGACGTAAGAATACTATCATGATGAATACGCTAACACTATGATATGAAAAGAATCAAATGCACAGTCGATTATTACTGTTGCAACCAGAATGAATTGGTTCAGAGTTCAAAGAAACTATCTTGATGTTTTCTTTTATTGTCGTCTCCACGTCAACTATTGAAACTTGCATTTCTTGGTCATGAGCAATTCGTGCTCACTCCACTCACCTCCCACCGCTTGGAGCTGCATCTGCCCCTTGATCCTAGAGGGTGGTGGCGTTCCTGCGGTTGCAGAAAGCTCAGCCTCCAACCGAGTCTCGCGCGAACTGTGATTTTTTGTAGCAATGCGTGCGGTGGGTGATGGTTCCTTTTAGTCATGTAAGTTATTGTACATAGTGAGTGACAGCAGAAAGTTGATATGCACGTGATGATTGCTCCTAATTTGGGCAGCTGTCGACCACAATCCACTGGAATACACAGGTCACAAAACGGGAGATGAATTTACGGCAATTGACTGTCTTAATTGGTCTAGAGGGATACGTGTGCAGGCGCAACCTTGTTGCAGTGATCACCATTGTGGCTGGCCTACTGTGGTCTTTGAACACACGTGGTCTCTGAAACCGGAGTGCCCATTGCACATTCAGCACAACCAATGCCAAAGAATAGTGATCTTAGGGAACAGGTCTCACCTGTTTTGTCCAACAGCAGACATCCTATGTTCAGGAGAAGGAAAGAGTTCCAGGGAACCAAAGACTGAACACAATTGAATTCTCACTTTTGTGAGTAGTCGTTTTGAATTGCATTTGTTTTGCTCGCTTCTTATCAGTGACCTTTTTGCCCATTTTCTTTTGTCTTTTCCGATTTGTAGCATCTGGTGCTACTGACGCCCTACAGCTTCAGTTGAAGGGATCACCTGGTTCTCCACAAGCGTCTTCATCACCCGCAACCCTGGATTCGTTTAGTGAGAGGTATGGCTGCAGATCCTTTCCTGCAACGTGATGAGTGATGTCCTGTTAGCAGCTGCTGTTTGTCTAGCCTGTGGTTATCTACCACCCCAGCTCTGTGCACAGAACACTGATCTTCCTAGAGCCGGTGTAACATACAGTGGAACTCACCTTACTACTTACTCTGATAAGACATATTCGTGCTTCGTACGCACATAGACTCATAGTCCGGAGCACGGGTGTATTGATCCATACTAAAATACCCATGAGGGGATCGTCTTGTCAGAGTTCTACTGTACATACATCCAATGCTTCACTGGAACATACAGTGTAGCTTGTGTTTACTGATCACTGCGACCAGAGACCACCTGCATTTGGAGACCACCCGCATTTAGAGGCTACCTGCATTTAGAGACCACCTGGCTTTAGAGACAAGTCAACTCAGGCACACTTCCGCCATACCTCAGCAGTCCGAGACCTGTACAGAATGACCATGTGTTTATAAAGACCATTCAGCCTGTCTGCACCATGGATGGTCAGGATGTGCAGGTTTGAGTGGTGTTATAAGAAATGAACATTCCTTCATACTTCGAAGTATATTTCATGGCTCCCTATCAGAACTCGCAGTTGCAAAATCCACCTAGTGGCATGTACATATTACAACAGATACTACTGTTGACATTGCTTCTACTTGCTTGTTTAGTAGTGCTTTGGATGGTGTTGACACATGACGATTCTAGATTCCATGTACAGAACCAATACCTAAGTTGGTTATTAATGTTCTTGTTCCGAAATCTTCATGTGCTCCTGCAGTGAATGTAGTGATAACGTTTCGTTCGGCACGTTTGGTGGCCTAAGCGATTGCTCCGCTGCGGATCTTGCACCCGGACTCGAACCAAACCAGATTGCCGGTAAGCGCTGTCTGCCAGGGTCATTCATTGCCTGACAGATCTCAACCTCTACTCATTTGCTTCCATGAAATTGGGCTTGTAGCCCGTGTGTACTTGGAAATTAAAAAAAGTGTTTTCTTCTCTTTTTTACATTTATTACTGGCTCAGTATCTGAGTTAAAAAAATACATGCATGCATACTCGTACTTCCTCTGCTACTGCTGTAGAAGGGCAAGGATCTGCAAGATTGTGTGTATCAACCAATGGGAACTAAGAGCTGCTAGTTTTGATCATCCCATGCCATGTTGGCAGGGTGTGCGCGATTTCCTTTTCCAAACTTACAAATATCCCCACTCATGGTTGTCTCGATGCTGGCTGCGTGCTGGTTATGTGTCCTGTGCATTTCAGGTCAAGAGCCAGTCGGTGAAATTGAGCTCGGTCTGCAGATGGGTGTGGAGGCAAGCAAGCAGCGATCTAGCTTTGTCCTGGACATCCTCCGGGGTCACAACTTCAAGCTGTGGCAGAATCTGGATGAGAAGCCTGGTTTCGGTGAGTGTGGGTGATGACCTCGTCATTCAGACTGTAGTATCTCCTTCATCACTATTCAAGGGCACACTGTATGTATGTATGAGATACACGTTACAGACATAAAAAAAGGTTGAACAGGATAGGTAGTTCTCGACCAGCTGCTGTGCCCCTTATGTGTTGTCCTATTGAAGGATGATTTTAGATTACTACTCACACTGCCACATGTATGTTGCGGTGCTCTAACACGATTGCATTTGATGTTGTTTGGAGTGTACCTTGGAGCTATGCTCCCATTGTTCGAATAGCCTTCTTCTTTTGTAGCACTTGAAGAGATGTACCAGCCAAATAGCCAAGGGGGGGGGGGGGGGTGTGCAGACAAACCACTCTTTTTCAGCTGATAGTCTTGACAAATGAAAACCTCCCGTTTAGAGATGTACGTATCTGGGCATGTTGTTTGACACCGTTCTAAGGGTGTGCACACTCCACTGTAGCCACTTCATGTTTCAAAGAGCCATACACCACTACTGAAAAACGGTCTCTTGCCTACAAATTTCTCCGAAAATAATTAAAAAATTGGAGGAATTTGTAGCCAAGAGACCGTTTTTGAGTAATGGTGTATGGCTCTTTGAAGCATGAAGTGGCTACAGTTTTTGGAGGAATTTGTGGCCAAGAGACCGTTTTTGAGTAGTGGTGTATGGCTGTTGTTTAACATGCCTGTGTATGGTGCATCGTGTAAATGTAACCCCCGGTTCACAGCCTGGCTACTTGCCTGTATACTTGGCCTGATAGATCAACTTCCGTAACCGTCCTGTTTTGTCTCCGTATGTGTCTATGTCTTGGATTAGAAATCTATATCAAGTGCTATCTGATCTTTCCTGGCCGAGTGATCAAGATGAAGACCCGCCAGGTAGCGCCAGGCCACCAGCCTGAGTTCCTCGACCAGCTCATCTCCATCATGAACAAGAAACTGCTGCAGAAGGCTGAGCGCTTGAAGGTAAGCTTGTTCTTGGTATATTGCAGGTATTGTGTGTTTTGAGTGGATTGTGAATGTCACATGGAAGATACGGGCTTGAAATCACCTTGGCTCAGACTCAGTGTCTAGCCATTCCTAATTCCAGAGAAATTTCTCTCTACGTAGTGCTGTACATGATGTGCACGTACTTGATCATCGGTTCAAGCACGCCTCCAGTCATTGTGATATACTGGAACATGTTGGTTTTTGAAGTGTAGCACCAATATTCGTTGAGCGGAGAACTGCTTTGAGTATGGATGGGATATTGTGTCCTCTGCGTATGATGTGCGGATATAAAGACTTGCTTGCTGCGGCTTTAATCACCATTGTCTTCGACTTGAAAAGTAATGGTACGAAAGGCCTAGTCGAAACTATATGGCAACTGTGCTTCATCTGTTGATTTTATTCCCTCCAACTGAAAATCCAGCCGAGTCTCACGCGAACCGTGAATTTTTTTAATTTTTTAACTGAAAATCTATTCGATTGTTATCGTCTGAACTTCCAACCTTGATGCATTCTCTGTGCCTTTGTACTTGTTGCGTACACAGATTCAGCTGTGGGAGGACCACGGCAGTCTGAAAAAGAAGCTGGCGGTCGGTGTGGCCACGATTGATTTGACCAAGATCCGCATGGAGGAGCTAGTGATGGGTTGTTACCCTCTCTACGTCCCTCACCGTCAGGCATCCATGCCTACAACACCCACCTCGCCTTCAGTCAGTGTTTCGCCTGGAAGTAAGTGCAAACGATGAGAGTATCCCTCAGTCACTCAAAGAATGCTCTGCCATACTGGTGCCGGTAGCGATAGCCTAGAAAAATGTGCCATGTCACTTGACTAATGACCCAGAGGGCGATGTGAATTGCTGAATTGTCAGATTGTTTTACGCCCGCAGTGATATTTGTAGCATTTTTCCAGTGCCTAGTCTGCTCAATTAATCAGTCTCGTGGGAGATTGCTTTTTATTTGGAATTTTGAGTAATGGCCCAAGGCAATCCACGCAGTGCATTCTAGTCAGATAATGCACATACATGTATTTTGCAAGCAAAGTGAAGGGCATGCATTTGAGCCACATATGCAACGTGAGTTGTGGCCGAAATTTTACAGATTCAACGCCACTGCATATTCCACTGTGTTGGGTAGATCACAATGGATACCCCCCCCCCCCTTCCCCCTCATACCTCGCTTGGCCTGAGTTTGCCACTGTACTAACAATTTGTTTGTTCTATATTGTGTAGGTACACCACCTTCCCTGACCCGCTCCAGCAGTGGGCGCTTTGGATCACTGCGCAATTCATTCAAGCGCCGCGAGAAGCTGCGACTCCGGCATTCGACCAGCGGCACTGCCCCATCGTCTCCCTTGGTGTCTGCGAACGTCGAGTCGTCACCGCCAGCTGCAGTGCTCTCAAGCTCAGCTCCAACGTCCGCTCCATCGGCACTGTCTTCCACACCCACCCGCGGCCATCGGAGTAGGCGGGAGAGCGAAACCGGCGAAACCGATTTGTAAGAGCCACCACCCGAGTGGAGTAGTGGTGGTGGAATACATTATTGCACTTTTTTCTCTCCTTGTTGTTGACACCGAAGACACTTTAATTATTTACGAGGTTATATGATCCACGTGTGTGTGTGAAGCTAGTGCACCGTGCACGGTATATTTTTTATCTCAGCCCCACTCCTATTCTATTATGCAGCGTTTGCATCTTGACTATTTGATCCAAAAATCAATGAAAAAAGCCGCCCACGATTTTCTGTGTATGTGCGACCAGAAAAACCTTCATATTCCACATACCGCATCTGTACTTTTTGGCCAGAAAGCCAGCATGTCCACATCCTAACGTTATTCTAACCCTTTCTACCCGGGCCGTATCCTGTGTATGCAATTGCTAATCGTGCATTTTTGTTTGTTGTTCGTGAAAAACCCAAACTGCATTCGCAAAGAACCATACTGCATCAGTGTCTTGTCTCTGGAGTGGTGATGTGTTGTTGTCCTGAGTGGGTTTGGTTGTGTGTTGTCCTGAGTGGGTTTGGTTGTGTGTTGTCCTGAGTGGGTTTGGTTGTGTGTTGTCCTGAGTGGGTTTGGTTGTGTGTTGTCCTGAGTGGGTTTGGTTGTGTGGACACATCGTCATGTACATGTACATCCGGTTTCTCCGACTGAATTCCCAAGCAACGTCCTATAATTATTTGTGCTCTTTCTGGGAGCTAATGACTCGTTGCTGCTACTGCTGGTACACTCAGAGTCATAACGTTACATGTACCTCGTTTATCCGGGTGGTCCCGGACCGGGCACTGCCCGTAACATTGAAATGTTCGTTAACTCCCAATCACACGCTTGTACATTTTGATGGGAAATGCGATAGAAATGGCATAATTATGACGTCACTTATTTCCACGAAAATCGACCAAAGAGTACAGTGTAGTAATATTTCCACTGAAACTCGCCCAAAGAGTGCCCAGTAGACCGAAGTGCCCGTAACTTCGGGGTCCGGGTATGTGAGGTACATGTATGAGTGTATGTGTGCAAGCAATAGATAATTATGTCTCCGTGGCATTGCTTTCAATATTTCAGATGATAAACGTGGAAAGAATGGACGTCAGGACAGGCTACGTCACAGTACGCGTGTAGTGGGCCGCAGTCATGTACATGTATGTGTTTTCACTTAAGGTGGCAGACTACCCAAAAATTCGCCGAAAAATCGAATTTGTAAATTCATATTGAGTGCTACGTCAGTTGAAAGAGCATGAATAGCTGCAAATTCTCTGAAATTAATTGTGTCCCGATCTGACCGGCCGTTCAAGAGTTATGGCCGAAAATGTGCCCTTGCAAGGAAAGATTTTTTTGTTGCACGCTGTCATTTGTTGGCAGCACTGTATTTGAATGTGAGCAGACCGTGCGCAACTTGTCGTATCATGGAAACACGTGAAAGTGTGCAGAATTTTGCTCCAAGTCCAAAAAATCAGGTTTTTGAGCCACGTATTGCAGCAGGACTTTTGCCAGCACCCTCGTGACGTTGCAGATATGTGGCTTGATTATTGTAGTTGACGTTGATTTGTAGTGACTTTGGCAAGTTTGAGTCGTGTCAAGAAGTCAGGTAGGATTCAGTACTAGGCAGTAGTGAAACGTGAGTGGTAGTCTTTGCCGGTTTCTGAGGGTATCCTGGATTTGGTGTGCAGCGCTGTGGAAATGGCTTGCTGTGGAGGTCCCAGCACTGGATGTTGTATCAAAGGTACGACCTCGTAGCACACCCTAAACCTAAAAAAATTCAAAAATTGACTTGGGTCTGTGGGAGTGTGTGAGAGAACGCCCACTCGTTCCGTTGTGACAGATTCCAGGGCCTCGTTGAGGGGCCCTACCCCATCACCCATGGCTGCTTCTGGACTTGTTCTAGGTTTGGGTCCCGCGCACGAACAGAATGAGCACGAAAATGTGAAAAAATTGTAAATGCATTTGTTTGGCTCCTGGGTGGCTCGCACACCGTGGCACTATGCCGGAAATTTGAGTTTTTCCGGCCTGGAAAGCCTGTCAGTGAGGCGCAAGAACTTGTAAATCATGTCCTGAGGGCCAGCATAGTGGCAGGAGTGTGTGGTCAAAATTTCACTCAAATCCATTGAGAAACACCAAAGTTACGGTCAATTGAATGCCATATGAAATTTATGGGTAGGCTGCCCCCTTAAAAGTAGGGGAAATGTTCTGCATTCGCCAAGGAAATCATTATGGCCGCCGACACCCGGATAATCCTAGTTGCAGTTACATTGCCTAAACGGCGAGTTCTTACATTTACTTCGTGGTAGAGTCTTTACTACTTCAAAGTACGAATAAGTCTAGCACACCCAAGGTCAACTGGATATTCACTACTCGGAGCGAGGGTAAAAATGGATGCAGCTAACGAAGTTCGTCCCCTTGTCGGGCATTGATTGTGAGACTTACCACCTCACCCTCGCCGTTAGGAGCTGCATCTGCCACCCTGGTATCACCATGATCACAGGCGCTAGGCATTGGTGGTGGCCTGGCAGTGGCACAAGCGAAACTATTACTTCCTAACCTAAGCTGGTCATAGCCGGTGGTATAACGCGGACTTTACGACTTACTTTCACACCAAGCTAGCTGGGTTCAACTCGAGTTCAACTCGAGTGACAGGAATGCACCCAAACAGGTTGTTGGTTGTACCAAGAGTACACAACCCCCAGGGTTACGTACATGTAGATCTACTCTTGGTTGTACCCTGCAGGTACGGTGATCAGGTGACCGGTGTACGCAGGAGTACGCGACCGTTCGTTCAACCATGTTCGATTGGGAATAAGGCCCGAACGCTGCATCGCAGCCTTTTCGGACCAAAACCAGTCGACTCAGCGTCCAGAAGACTTCAACATATGGGCCAATTGCCGTCATCCGTGCTTTTATAAGAACGAAATGGCGCTTTTACTTTACGTTTTAGTGACAAAGTACATACAAATCCCCATCTAGTAGGGCGCAGTCACCCAGTTTCGGCGGAAATGCGCGAGTTCGATTGGGAATATACAGGGGCGTCGCACACGGTACGGTCTCTACGGTATTGACCGTACCACTTTTTGCCCCAGATACCCGTGAGTCAACAAAATACACTGATCTGGGATCTAAAATTCCAAAATTTTCGGCTCAGCCACCACTCCCCCACGAGTCAATTGTACTTCAGATGGCTGACCGTACCACACTAAAATACCTTCCGACGCCCCTGATATAGGAGGAAGAGAGCGTCTCAGCTTCCTCGGACCAAGACCATTCGACTGAGAACCCCGAAGACTACAACTGGTGAAAATTTGATTTTAGGCTTAACTTCCCCTGTTTCACAAGGCTCTGGGCGATCTTCAGAAGGTAAAACTGCCTTGAAGGCCCTCTGTTCCTACTGTGTGTATATAGACTTCACCTCACTGTGTTGAGCACTCTTCATTCGGCAGGGGATCTCTGCTTATCCACCAGCATACATCATACCACTACTGAGTACTGTTTGGAGCAAGCACTCTCACTCTCAGTGTATTGTGCCTGGACTGATGCATCCCACCACCACCACATTCCTCGCGTCGTGCATGAAGGAGCTCCATCATGATGTGGAGGTGGAACCACCATTGCAGCCCCTGGATAAACCCTTCACCATCGGTCAGCCAACACTGATCCTGATGCCCGCGCCGACCTGCGAGTGAAGGGATTCTGGACCGATAGCCGCAACGCATTCTTTGATACAAGGGTGTTTTATCCCCACACGTCAGGCTATCGGTCCAGGTCTCTCCCCTCCCTCTACCGAAGGTTCGAAGGAGAGAAGAAGCGTGCTTACGGCGAACGTGTCAATGAGGTTGAGCATGGCTCCTTCACACCGTTAGCCTTCTCCTCCTGTGGTGGGATGAGCTCTGAAGCAGCCGTAGTAGTCAAGAGGCTGGTGCATGGCTTGGCCACCAAACGCAACGCTGCGTATAGCTGGGTTGTAGCTTGGCTGCGGTGCTGCTTGGCATTTTCTCTTGCCAGATCTGCCATCCGTTGCGTCCGTGGATCGCGCTCTGTTCGCCGTCGTCGCTTCGACCTCGCGCCAGGCTGAGTCGCGTCTGGCTCGACATTAGACTGTATTTACAGCCATTGATATCCTTTCTTCCTGTTGTTTAATTCTTAATGGCCAGCGTGTTTTTACCGCCATATTGCCAGGTGCGTGTTTACCACCATAATAAAGTTTTGTGTGGAAGTAACGTTGCATCCCACCACAAGGCTGGTCAGTGTTGTGCAATGTTATCGCATAAGCTGATTGTTTAGTAACTGCCTGGTTGTGTTAGTGGGCTATAGCGTAACTTGTAGTTCCTTGGTCCTTTTTTCTTTTCTACACATACAATTGCACGTACCCCCAGGTTAAAACTATTTAGAATAGGAGAAAGGGGATCATGATCTGATGATGGCGCCACCGTTTCTCGAGTAATACTTCCACTTTTGTTAACAGTAACACTTGACTCGATACTATAGAGTCCTTAGTCACACTGTACTGTAGCACATCTTACTGCAATGATCCTGATGACGCAGCTCACCAGATCAAGGTGTGGGTCATCTCCACTCATTAGAGACGAGTCGAGCGAGCTGCACTTCCGGTGCCGAGAGGCGGGCTCACACCCCAGTAAGGCAACTTCCCCATGCCTCAGCCCCAAGACCAAGTGAACACAGCAGTACTAGTAGGCATGCAAGACTTGAAGAAGTACAAGAAATCCCTACGTGGCAAAGGACTGAGCATGAGACCATAGTAGAGAGATTCTGCTATACGTGAAACGTAGAGAAATCACGTAGAGAGCAGGCGCCTGGGTTAGAGTCTACCGCTTCGCGTGTTTTGGCTCCAGATTTCTACGCGGAGATGAGGTTCTCTACGTTGTGGCACACGCAGAGAAAATGCGTACGGATCTCCTGGGTGTCGATCAACTGCAGGCAGAAAACTGCCAAATATTTGCTTTTAGCTAGGAAAGCAAAACAGCACTAACCCTCGTCACTAATCGAAGAAGTAATTAGTTCGCTGAAAATTACTCCTTTCAGAGGCTGTGGGCATAATGTAAACGGCGTCACGGGGTCATCCTGTCTGCAGCCTCGCACCATCGCACACCTGGTCCAAATGAGTATAATGTTACAGTACTCTTCATTTTAATGTCACGTACCAGTACAATGGTCATGTCCTAGTGCTTGAGATCTGGAGATCGCTCTTCAGACCTTGCACCAACCTCGTGCTGTCTCGCCTGGAGCACTGGTCTTTGTCACTGTGATGCTAATTTCTCAAGTGTCACACAGCCGGCCGGCATCACGACCATTGGCATTGGATAACTTACTTCTTCTTGACAGAGGAAAACGTTTCTGACTGAAGGACCTCCAGTTCGAGGAGGATGAGATGTTAGCACATGTACATGCACATTAGCCAACTTGGTTCCAGTTTTCCGGCACATCTTCAGG